CGAACATTTTTCTTGTAAAACAAAGGGGGGCCTAGCAAAAAAAGTTTGGGAACCACTGCACTAATATAACTTATTTTCTATTTTCTTCTCCTTTAAAAAAAAAAAGCTTTTCCAAAAACACATTCAGAGTCATGCAAAAAAAAAAAAAAATGCAATTTCCCCAAAAGATGTTTCATGTTTTATTTTACTGACACAGTCCTGAAGTGACAAAGCACAGATCTCTATATGTGTGGACTTTCCTTCATATCAGACACAAAACTGATGCTGTACATTCACAGTGTGTGTCTTTTTATCTGTCCGTGATTGTTATTTATTCTTGTTTTTTGCACACATGAGCCTGACCTGTCTCCCCAATGTGATGTTTGTGTATTGTATGTACGGTCGGCAAGGTCTGTCATCTCGGTTGTGGGGAAAAGACCTGCAACTGACAAATAAATGCTATCTCATCATCTCATCTCACTGTTCCTTTTAGTATAAATCATAATGAAAATAAATGGTATGTGACTGTGTTATTTAAGACATATCCTTTTGTTTTTCTTTATTCAGCTATGAGAGAAGTGCCACACCATCGTCTGCTATGAATGGAAAATTTTCAGATCATCAGCAGCTGTTGCCAGTTAAAGAAGAGGTTCGCTGGAGTCCCAGTCTGGACCAGCAGGACACAGACCTTCATCACAAAAATGAGGTACATGAGGGAGAACAGTTTGATGGCGTGGTTGAGGCTGATATCACCAGGTTTCCAATTAGTCCTGTGAAGAGTGAAGATGATGATGAGAAACCTGACTCCTTGCAGCTTCATCAAAGGCCTCTGACCAGCTGCTCAAATAAACAAATGAAAACAGAAACTGATGGAGAGGACTGTGGAGGACCAGGATCAGCCACTGACCCAAACCCACAACCGAGTCCTGATTCTCTTGAGATGGAAGTCAGCTTTGGTGATAAATTGCAGAAACCTGAAACTGAAGACAGTGATGATGGTAGAAAGAAGAGCAGGACACTTGAGTCAGGCAAAAATGAAGATCTGGAATTTAACAGTGCCAACACATCCTTCAACTGCTCTGACTGTGGTAAACATTTCTTTTATAGGCAAACTCTTCAGAGACATGTGACAAGTCACTTGGGAAAAAGGACAAATAAAAAATGTTTTAAAATGACGCAAAATCCACATTCACAGATGGCGGGCCACAAAGAAGAGAAACTGTTTGATTGTGATGTCTGTGGACAAAAATTTAAGAGAGAAGCAAATCTTACAACACACGTTAGAGTTCACACAGGCGAGAAACCATTTAGCTGTAACGTTTGTGAAAAAACATTTAGACATCAGTATAATCTCTATAGACATTTGAAAATCCACACAGGAAAGAAACCATTTAGTTGTGCTGTTTGTAATAAAACATTTTCACAACGGTGGGACCTGAAAAGACACAAGATTGTCCACACAGGAGAGAAACTCTTTAACTGTAGTATGTGTGGCAAAAAATTTACACAGAGGATGCATTTTAAGAGACATATGAGGGTCCACACTGGGGAGAGACTGGTTGGTTGTGATGTCTGTGGTAAAAGATTTAACTGTAAGAGAAACCTAAAGACACACATGAAAGTTCACACAGGAGCGAAACCATACAGTTGTGATATTTGCAATAAAAGATTTTCACAACCAGGAATTTTGAAAAGACACAGGAGCATCCACACAGGAGTTAAGAGCCTTCGACCAGATGACCCAAGATGTCGTAGTTTGATGGCACTCGTGACACAATCAGCTGCTTCAGAACTGGTGCCGACACAAGTCTTGAACAGAGTAGGTAAGTGAAGCACATTCATGTGCATTTGTTGTAGTGTATTAACATATAACTCGTATGGGCTATCAAAACGCATTATTTTCACAATAGTGTATAGCAGGTAATTGTGCTTTCTTCCAAAGGATTAGGGATTTTCTGACAGTGGTGATTTACTCCAAAAATACACTGTCTGCAGCTGCATGACATTCTGGCTCTGACACGGCCAGGATGATGCTTCTCGTTCCAACAGATGTGTTTCACAAACATCCCAGAACTGACACGCTGTTCCATTTGCTTAAAATAGACTTCTTTTTTTTTAAACTGAAGCCATGTCAAGCTGTACAGATCAGTTGGGGAGGACAGGCAAATAGCCAGATGAGTGACAGGGAGAATGCAGTAAATATTGTAGATAAAATAAAAGAACCCACACATGCTAAATACTCCAGTCTATGGACATTTGTGTTTCTGGGTTCCCTGCAGATGGTCAGCAGACGTTCCTGATTAAAGAGGAGTTTCCCTTGAGCTCCTTTGTGGACCAGCAGGACTCAGACCTCTATCAGATAAAGGCAGAACAGAAGGAACTCATCACCTGTCGTGAGAGAGAGCACTTTAATGGGCTGCAGGAAACTGATATCACCAGGTTTCCAGTCACTGCAATTCGAGTGAAGAGTGAAGATGATGAAGAGAAACGTTACTGCTCGCAACTTAATCAAGACAACAATGATTCCGAGCCTCCAAGCAGCTGCTTAGAAAAACAAATAAAGTCAGAAACTGATGGAGGGGACTGTGGAGAGCCAGACCCTGACAAAAACCAGTCTGGTCATTTAAAAGAAAATACTGATGGAAAAGTTTCTGACTCTTGTGAAACCGAAGTCAGTATTGATGATGATGATGATGATGATGATTGGCAGGAGCCTTTGACAGACTCTGGACCAGAAACTGAAGTCAGTAGCAATGGTTGGAAGGACAGCAGGGCTCTTGATTCAGGTGTAAAGTGTAAACGGTCTCTTCAGAAACATGTGATCAGTAGTTCAGGGAGAAGGTCTTCATACTGTTTAGCTAATAAGAAATGCTTAAAAGTGAACCGAACTGATTTAGAAGGAATCCAAACAGAAGATAAACCATTTGGCTGTGATACTTGTGGACAAAGATTTAATCAAAACGCACATCTAAAGACCCACATGAGAATCCACACAGGAGAGAAACCATTCCGCTGTAACATTTGTGAAAAAATATTTAGACATCAATACAACCTTAACAGACATATGAGAGTCCACACGGGAGATAAACCATTTAGCTGTGGTGTTTGTGGACAAAAATTTAACCGTAACACAAATCTCAAGACGCATATGCGGATTCACACGGGGGAGAAACCATTTGGTTGTGGTCTTTGCAGTAAAAGATTTTCACAGCCTGGGGATCTGAAAAGACATAAGAGTGTCCACACAGGAGAAAAACCATTCAAATGTAGCATTTGTAGTAAAAGATTTACGCAGAGGATTCATTACAAAACTCACATGAGCGTTCACACAGGAGAAAGACCATTTGGTTGTGACTTGTGTGGCAAAACATTTAACAGAGAAGGAAATCTGAAAATCCACAAAAGAGTCCACACAGGGGAGAAACCTTTTGGTTGTGATATTTGTGGACAAAAATTTAACCAAAGCACAAATCTGAAGACACACATGAGAGTCCACTCTGGAGAAAAACCTTTCCACTGTAGCATTTGTGGAGAAAGATTCACGCGAGAGGGAAGTCTGAGGAGACACATGAGACGCCAGGGAATGAACCATTTGATTGTGGTGAAAAGTTTACATGACAGTAATCATAATGTAATTAAATGAATATTTTTTAATATATGTCGACAAAACATATATAATGCAATGGTGGTTTTTCAGTATTTCTAATTATGTTATTTATTATAAATCTGTAAATTATATAATACTAAACAATAAAACTGGGGGAGAACTGGTCTGACAGTGCTTCCTTTTTTGTGGTTTCTACATTTCAAAAAATTTATTCATGTGTGCTGCTTGTAGGTTCTTGGACTTATGGCACTTCAAATATATTTTAGTGTTAAAAAGGAAATGGAAGAAAGACTGGGACCTTTTCGTCATTGTTGCATGACAGAAATGCTTTCAGCAATTAAAATTTTATGATTTATCACACAAAGTAACCAGGTAAAGGTGCTGTTAGAAGGGTACGATCTTTTTGCCAGAAACCTTTCCTGCAGCTTCCTTCAGTGCTAACATGATTCAGTTGACTTTATATTCACATATTTTCAGTTTTCTAGGTTCAAGTTCCTAACCGTAAACCACAGGGGGAAGTTTGTTGGCTACAGAATCAGTTAGGTTTAGGAAAAAAATAATGATTTGGGTTCAAATAAATTTTAGGGCTTTTTTGAGGCTGAAATTCTAAAAATTTATTTTCTTTTTCAAATGTGTTTTGAGTGGCCAAATAGGCTAACAGATTTTGAATAGAGCCTCCGTAGTACTCTTCATAACATTTCAACTGCTGCTCTACGAAAATAATTTTTACATTTCTAAGTAAAATTAAAAAGACTACAGTGAATAAAGTGTCTGATGTATCCAAAGGTCAGCCTGTGTGAAAAGACAGGGCTTATGTAAGTTAAAGCACTGATTATTGAACAGTCTGTGCTTTTGCGACTATAGTTTTAGAACAGACAACAGGCATCTACATCAGTTCATATGATCCAGCCCTAAATATATGCTTTATCAAAAAGGAAGTTTGGAGACTAATCTTAAAAATAGAGATGGATATTGGTTCCAAAGAGGAGGGGCCTGAAAACTGAAGGCTCTGCCTCCCATTCTACATTTAAATACTTTTAAATAGTGTGAGTGTGAAGTGCTCTAATAGGGTGATGTGGTACTATAAGGTCATTAAAATAAGATGGGGCCTGATTATTTGAGACCTTGTATGCGAGGAGCAGAATTTTGAATTCTGGATGTAACAGGGAGCCAATGAAGAGAAGCCAATATTCTAGTCCCTGTCAGTACTTTGGATTAACTGAAGGCTTTTCAGGGAGTTTTTAGGACTTCCTGATAATAATGATTTACAGTAGTCCAGCCTAGAAGTAATAAATCCATGAACTAGTTTTTCACTATCACTCGAACACAGGATATTTATAATTTTAGAGATATTGCACAAATTGAACAAAGCAGTCCTACATATTTCAAATCAAATCAAAAATCAAATCAAATTTTATTTGTCACATACACAGTCATACACAGTACGATATGCAGTGAAATGCTTGGACAACTGCTCGTGACCTTAAAAAAA